TGGTTAAGGCTCTGGCCGGGACTCAGATGTGGGGTCAGTTCCCACGTTGGCCACAGACTCCCCCTGTGACCTTCGGCCAGTCACCCCGGCGTTGGTTTGCAAAGGCTCACGTGACAATGAGAGGCGAGGCCTCCTAGCACGTCACAGGGAGCGAGATAAATAGTGAGAATCTCCCCCTTCCCCTCGCTGGGCCTCGTCCCCCATCTGTAGCAGGTGCCTTGTCTAGATGGCAAGGGCCGGCTCTGGCTATGTATGTTCAGCCCCACAGTTGGAAAGTGGCCGCTCATTCGGCAGGCCTGACTGGAGACACCTGGGGGGCTGGTGTTCAGAGGGACGGGCACCCATGAGTCCCACTGGCGTTGGCTGGAGCTGCGGGTGCTCAGCACTGCTGGAAAGCAGGCCCCCAAGGGTCTCCGCTGGCCCCCCTCTGATCGAAGACCAGAGCACTGAAGGACAGAGCGGAGCAGCGCGATCGCAGTGCCAGGGATTTAATGACCCGTCCGGCGCACACGTTACAGCTCTTGAGAGGGCAGGGGGCGCACCTTGCCCACACAGCACCAGACACCCCTGTAGGAAATGCCTCCGGAGTTCAGGCCCTCACCGCTCCTCCCCAAACGGCCCGGCGAGTCCTTCTCTGGCTCCCATCTGCCTGGCCCGGGGTAGAGAGCAACCAGTCAAGGCTGTGCGTGGGAGGAGATGGCGCTGTGTTTCCATGGTAACCCTCTCAAAGCCCACAAACGGGCAGCACCTCCCGGCTGGCACCGTTGGCAAGGGGGATCCTCGGCAGCGTCTCACAGGCAGGGGCTGGAGATGGCCTCTGGGAGCCAGGCGTGCCGGGCCCAGGGGAACTATGCAGGGACGTGGCCAAGGCGTGTCAGTGGGTGGAACCGGCCTCTGCTCCCTCCGGGCTTTCCCTTCCCCTCAGCAGCTCGGCCATGGCCTCTTCCATCAGCACCATCTCCAGCTGGCAGGTGGCAGCCACCTCGGCTCTCATGGCCGTCACAAAGGATGGGTCGCGGGCCAGAGCGCCCAGGCCGCTGGAGAGCAGAGCCTGCAGCAGAAGAAAGGGATCAGCATAGCCTGGCTGCTCGGGCTGTGGAGAAACAACCTCTGGGCTCTGTGCAGCTGATGCCTGCGCTTCCCAACTTAGCACAAACCCGTGGAGCTGGGAATGTTCACACTCGGGAGTGAACCGGGCCTAGAGCAAAGTGTGAGCAGACGCTCGGCAAATTCCCCATATGCAGCTCCGCCGGTGCGCCTCAATCCCGACCCACAGCCCCTGCTATCCCAGCCCTGGGCTCGCCCCAGCTCCACCGGAGCCCCTCAATCCCGACCCACAGCCCCTGCTATCCCAGCCCTGGGCTCCCCCCAGCTCCACCGGTGCCCCTCAATCCCGACCCACAGCCCCTGCTATCCCAGCCCTGGGCTCCCCCCAGCTCTGCCAGTGCCCCTCAATCCCGACCTGCAACCCCCTGCTATCCCAGCCCTGGGACCCTGGACTCCCCCTCTCCCCCCGGCTCCACCAGTGCCCCTCAATCCCGACCCACAGCCCCTGCTATCCCAGCCTTGGGCTCCTCACACACACAGCTCCGCTGGTGCTCCTCACTCCCAACCCACAGCCCCCTTCCTGCGTCTATCCCACAGCTGGCTTTCTGCCTGCCTTACCGCTGTGCCAGCACCATTACTGATCTCTGCTTTCACCCCATTCCGATCCCTCCAAGTCCCCCCATTGCCCCTACTTTACCACCCCATAGATGATCTTCGACCCCTCTAACTGGGGATGAACTCTGCTCCCATCCCATCCGTAGGCTCAGGGCTGGCAACTCCCCCCGTTCCATCCTGCCTCTGCCCCTGCCCCCTGGCCTCACCCCATCCCACTCCAGGAGCTGTGGCCTCTCTCCTCCTTTCACCGCTCCCCCAGGAACAGTCTCTCCAGTCCCACCCCAGCCAGTCCCCCTGCTGGGTGCTGCCCCACTGCTACCTCCTGGATGAGTAAGGTGGTGGCTGGGGTGGAGGCAGCAGCGTCTCCCTCCCCGTTCATGTCACTGCCGCCATCCAGCTGGCACTCGGAGGTCAGGTCCGCTACCCACTCCTGGGCAGCAGCCTCCTCTCTGGGCAGCTGGGCAGAGAAGGAGCCAAGAGTCACATCCTGGGGGGTGAGCAATACTGAACGTGCTGCAACAGCCTCGACAGGTGGGCGAGGTGGGGGCTGGTCCGTGGAATCGCCCAGGGGCCACCCCCCAGGCTTGCAGAGCAGCTCAGATCCCTCTCGCCCGCTGTGGCGTCCGCTAGCCGCCCGGTGGCACCCCTTTGGAGGAAGAGCACAGCCTCTTCCGGGGCAATGACTCGGCACTTGGACAGCGCTACCTGCGCCTGCCCTGCTCCCCGCCGGGCTCCGGGAACAGCCGGGCGCCCCGGTTAGTTTAAGGAGAGGTGGCGATCATTGGCGATGGTACAGAACCCGAGGGCCAGTCCTGCCTGGCTGGGCACTAGAGCAGGGACCAAGCTCTGAGCTCCAGGATCCTGCCCAGTCACTTGAACTTGGCTCCTGTAGAGTCAATGGCCAACTCCCCCACGCTAGCAACAGCCCCGTCCATAGCCCCAGGGGCCTTCTTTCCTCTGGAGCGCAGGGCGGAAGAGGACAGGGGAATGGGCAGAGAAGGGGCAAGGCTACAGAGCCTCATCTCCTTACATAGCGGAGCCGTGATTACCTGGATATAACAAGGCACGACCCCTGCCCCCCAGTGCTCCATTCCCTGGTACGCCCATCCCCACTCCTGGCCACCGGTGGCCCCGGCAGAGGCTCCAGCCCTGTGGGCCGTTCCAGTTCCAGTTGCCATTGGGACGAGGGCAGGGGTGCCGGAGACGAGGGTCTTTGCGCCTGAGCCATTCGGGGGGCTTGTGGCTGGACACCGGGACACCCCCAGCTTCCTCCAGCCCCATGGCCGCGTCTCTGCTGCGGATAGGCCAGGAGTGCAGGCTCCGTTCTGCTTCCCAGGGGCCAACCAGGCTGGGGCGGACGCAGCGCACGAGGCAGATGCCAAGCTTGGATCTCCTGCTAGCTGGCCCCGGGGGACCCGGTGCCTCCAGTGCACAGTTGTCTTGGCCAGCCCAAAGTGGGAGGGGGACTAGTCTCCCCCCGCCGCAGATGAGCCACATGATATCCCAGCACCATTTACCTGCAGCTCCAATCCCGGGCATCCACCGACACTGGCTGCATGCTTCCTGTCCAGCCACCGCTGCCGCTTCTCCAGACGGAAGGAGCGGTTGTGGCCTGAGGGGAGGGGAACGGGGGCGTCACGTGGGGAGCCCACGGGAAGGACACTGCTGTGGCCCTGAGGCGTAGGGGGTGCCAGCTGGGAAGGGGCTGACTAGTGCGGGGGCTGGGGAAGCAGAGCTGGTGCACTTGGAGGTCCTGTGCACATGCCCCAGCCAGCCCTGGGCCAGCCCCCTCCCCAGCAACTCCCCGAGAGAGGCAGAGGGAACTGGATGCGCCCCTCGCTCACAGGGAAAGAGCTGAGCACGGGCCTTCCCTCGGCCTTACACCCAGCCCGCCCCTGCTCCCGGCGAGGCCTGCACACGGGGATGGGAAAACGGAGACCTGGATGACCCCTCCTGGGAACCACGACCTCCTGTCTCTGCCGGCTGAGGGGGAACTCGGCCTACAGCACCCCAGGAAATTCAGCCTCCTCCTTCACCTCCCCTTGAGGGCCATGGCGCCCTGGGAAAAGGACCCCCCCCCCCAGAACTGGCACCCCCAGGGAAGGAGGTTATCTGCATTCGCTGCTGCAGGGAATTCCAGTGTTGGCTTCTCTTTCTATTGCTTAGTTCATCCTTAGGGCCATGAAGAGACAGCCCCTGCTCCCCGATAAAAGGGGGCTCACCGGCTGCCTTGGTGAAAAATGGAGTCCCACCCCCACATAAAATGGGGCCCCTCCCTTCCACGCCTTATGGGGTCCCCCCAATAAAAGAGGGGCCTCCCTCCCAACCCTCTGACAAAAGAGGGTCCATCCTCCAGGCCACTTGGTGAAACATGGGGTCCCACCCTATGCCCATCTGGCAAGCTGGGAGTTTCCCCAGGCCATGACACTGCCCCCCCAGGACACCCCTCCCAGTAAGGCCAGGAAGTGCCCGGTGGCCTCATCCCCTCCCTCCTTTACCCTCCCTCCCCTTCTTCAGCACCTCTGGGCTCCTCCCCTCCCTCCTCTACCCTCCATCCTCTTCTTCAGCACCTCTGGCCTCATCCCCTGCCTCCTCTACCCTCCAGCCTCTTCTTCAGCACCTCTGGCCTCATCCCCTCCCTCCTCTACCCTCTATCCCCTTCTTCAGCACCTCTGGTCTCATCCCCTCCCTCCTCTACCCTCCATCCCCTTCTTCAGCATCTCTGTTCTCCTCCCCTCCCTCCTCTACCCTCCATCCCCTTCTTCAGCACCTCTGGTCTCCTCCCCTCCCTCCTCTACCCTCCATCCCCTTCTTTAGCACCTCTGGTCTCCTCCCCTCCCTCCTCTATCCTCCCTCCTCTTCTTCAGCACCTCTGGTCTCCTCCCCTCCCTCCTCTTCTTCAGCACCTCTGGGCTCCTCCCCTCCCTCCTCTACCCTCCATCCTCTTCTTCAGCATCTCTGGGCTCATCTCCTCCCCGCCATAATCACCCCCACCCAATCATATTAATAAAAACAGCACAAACACCACTTGTATTAGAGAGAGAACCAATGACTGGACAGACAGACACTCTAGGTACTGGATGGATGGATGGATGGATGTGTAAGATGGATGGATACATGATGGAAGGGTCTGTCTCGGGATAGATAGATAGATAGATAGATGAGGTGAATGGGGACAGACAGGACAGCATCACTAAGTGTGAAGAAGGAGAGGTGACTTACCCTGGGTTCTTTTGGCACCTTAGAGACTAACAAATTTATTTGGGCATAAGCTTTCATGGGCTAGAACCCACTTCATCAGATGCATGAAGTGAAAAAAAGTAGGCAGATATAAATATACAGCACATGAAAAGATGGGAGTTGCCTTACCAAGTGGGGGGGTCAGTGCTAATGAGGCCAATTCAATTAGGGTGAATGTGGCCCATTCCCAACAGAGGACAAGAAGGGGTGAATATCAACAGGGGTGAACACAGACTAACATGGCTACCCCTCTGAAACCTGGGTTCTTTGAGATGTTCTGGCCCGATGGGTGCTCCACCACAGGATGTGCATGCGGAGACGGCAGTCGTGCTGGCAGGCCTGCACAGAGTCACACCTTGTACTCTGAAGGAGGGAAACGGGGCGACGTATCTGCAGCGGAGGGGAAGGAGGCCGGGAAGGTGGAGCACCCATAGGAACAAAGCATCTCGAAGAACTCAAGAACTTAAGGTAAGTCACCGTCCCTTCTTCGTCGAGCGTATGTCCCTGTGGCGCCCCACTGCAGGGCACTCCAGAGCAGTAACTCAGAGAGGAGGGGCATGCCACAGAGGTGAGTCAAGGACTGTTCGGAGAACGATATCACCAAAGGCAGCGTCCTCTCTGGAAGCAGGGGACATGGCACATGCTTGGCACAGGGCTGGCAGAAGACCAGTCGCAGTCCTGCAGATTTCTGCTATGGGAACGTACTGGATGTGGACTGAGTTCCAGTGGAATGTGCTGTCACCGTGGGGGGCAGGGGGGATGCACCCCCATTCTGTCATAACAGGTTAAAATACAACCTGCAACACACAGACAACCCCTGTATGGACTAGGAACAGGTTGGCCCTTCATTCATTCTGTTAGCAATACAAGTAGCCTGGGAGAGACCCTCAAGGACCTAGTCCTGTCCATAGAGAAGGCAAGGGCCCGTCTAACATCCAGCGAATGAAGGCTTGAGACCTCTCTGGAGGCCTAAGGATGTGGGTAAAACACTGGCAGGCGAATCTCCTGGTTAATGTGATCTTCCAAGGAGACCTTAGGAAGAAAATAGGGCTGGGGACACAGTAGAACCTTGTCCCTATGAAAGGGTGGGATATGGTGTGTCAGCCAGGAGTGCCCCCCGCTCTCCAATTCGTCTTGCTGAAGTAATGGCGCCCAGGAATGAAATTTTGAAGGCGATATGGAGGAGAGAGCAGGTGGTCGTTGGTTCAAAGGAGACTTTCCTTGGAGCATTAAGAAGCAGGTTGAGGTCCCACTGGGTCCCAAACAGGAGGAAACCAATTGTATAGAGCCTGGAGGAATCTGGCTGTGACAGGGTGGGCAAAAACCGAGAAGCCCTGGATGGGTGACTGGAAAACTGTGAGAGCAGCCACCTGCACTCTAACAAAGCTCACGGAGAGACCCTGTATCTTTAATTCCAGCTGGCGGTCAAGTATTTTGGAAAGGGAAACTTCTAGGGCTTGGGAAGAAGAAAGAGAGCATCAAGAGTGAAAGTGTTTCCATTCCGGAGATAAGTCTTGCCGGTACTGGGCCATCTGCCAAACGAACTGACTGAACTGCAGCCAAATGAGTTAACTCCATGGTCGAGAGAACCATTCAGGAGCCAGGCCCTGGGGTTCAGAGAGGACGTATCTGTCATGAGGATCTTTGATGGTGTGCGATGCAAGAATGGGGTTCCCACACCGACCCTATGTGGGTCTTTCTGTCATGTAAGGGAATCCAACACCTTCTGAGGCACCGTGACCCCTTTGGACAGGTGGTGTCTGTCTGGGATATTTACTGTTCTAAACCACATCCTGGAGACATCTGAGATGGAGTCTCACATAGGAAGTCATGAACGTGCAGGAGGATGTATGTCCCAAGAGTGGAAGACGAGCCCTCATGATTGTTTATGGGCTGAACTGTAGCACCAAGATTAGGCCAGGTAGGGTGGAAGAAGTCTCCCAGAATAGATAGGCTCTTGCTGTTGTGGGCTCGAGTGGCTCCTATGCAGTTTATCCTTTACACTGGAGTTAGTGTCAATTTTTTGTGATTGATGCGAAGTCCTAGTTAACGCCTTGGCCATGGCTGGTTGGACCTCTTGGAGTGATCAATCCCTGATCAACCAGGTGTCCAAATATGGGAATACCAAGATCCCCCATTGACAGAGACCAGCTACTACTGC